AGATGACACAACAGAGCTGTACTTTTTGTCAGCAAGAGGAGCATGAGAAGATGAAGTGCAGAAGAGATATCCACAATAACTGGATCTGCTTCACATGAATTCCCAGTACTTGCCAGCAAAACCAGATGTGGAGTCTTTTCACGGCAATCGTGCCTCTTCACATTTTTCTAGGTAAGATTTTATACCAGTAACACGCAGAGAACAGACTTCTTTGATGCCATTTATCTTGCTTCAAGAAGCAACCCATATCTGAGCTTTCTTGCTGCAGGAGAAGTAAATTATTTAAAGTCAGTATTACGTCTTTCACAGATCCAGAGAGACATTCCAGGATCAAATGACACCGATCAAAAGAATATGCTGTCATCCATCTGTCCGCTGTCAGATTTGTCCCAGGATACCAAAATGTAGCTGCCTGAAAGATGAGCCTGCTGGAAGGGCCTCCTTAGAGGCTTCTGATGAGACTCTTCCACTATTTTCGGTTGTCAAGAGTCCAGAAAGAGGGAGGAGACAGGGATGTAAAGGTGCAATGCAGACAACAGATTACTTCACTTACATCACACCTACCCCAGGCTGCTGAATCTGGAGGCTTCCTCGTAGAATGGTGCTTCTGTCCAGCTCAGGACAGAAGTATGGAGGAAACAGCACGTGCTAGCCAGGTTTTTTCCTGATGGCACAGCTCTTCAGAAGAACAAAACCCAAGCTACACGAACAAAGCATTCCTCTGTCAGGCATGGACCGAAGGAAATGGATAAAGAATTATCATGTCTTCATGTTAACTGTAGGCCCTCAATTACAGATCAAGGAAGAGAAAAGGAAAAAACCACCACAAACTGTAGTTCTGCAAACAGTTTAAGAACATATAAAATGGCCCTGCCACCTTCTCTCTGCTCGTACTCATCCACTTATCTTCCGCTCCTTTCTCCTCCCTTATCGTTGCACAGGTCCATGCAAAAAAGGAAAAAAAAAACCCCAACCAACCCAAAGCAAGGAACTGAGCTGCCTGAAAACAACCGTGGCAAAAATAGAAATGAGAGAGGTGTTTTCAGTTGGATCAATTCCCTAATCCATGTCACCTTACAACCACATGAACGCTTCAGCTGGCAAAGGCTCCAGAGGAGCTGGAAGGGCAGAAGAAGCAGAAAGGAGGTGAAAGCAGGATGGCCTCCTTCTGCGGCAACGCCAGCTTACAGCCCTCGTGGAATCACTGGCCCAGCTTCACTTGGCACGGGAAGCCAAACACTTGCACTAGGACAGGGAGAACCTCCAGGCTACCGCCATCTGAGCAAGGGGTAGACAAGGCAAACTACAAGCACACACTTTTGAAAGTCCACTTTTGAAGGCTGGAGCCCCTCTGCTCTGAGGCCAGGCTGGGAGAGTTGGGGGTGTTCAGCCTGGAGAAGAGAAGGCTGCGGGCAGAGCTGAGTGCGGCCGCTCAGGGCTTCAAGGGGGCCCAGAGGAAAGGGGGGGGACAAGCTTTTTAGTAGGGCCAGCTGGGACAGGACAAGGGGGGATGGCTTTCAACTGAAGCAGGGGAGGTTTAGACTGGATCTAAGGCAGAACTTCTTTCCAGTGAGGGTGGTGAAACCCTGGCAGGGGTTGCCCCGAGAGGGGGTGGAGGCCCCATCCCTGGGACCATTCCAGGCCAGGTTGGCCAGGGCTGTGAGCAACCTGATGTGGTTCAAGGTGTCCCTGCTCCTGCAGGGGGGTTGGGCTGGGTGGGCTCTAGGGGTCCCTTCCAACCCAAGACATCCTGTGATTCAGTAGGAAACAGAGCAGAGACTGGAGCCACCAGCACTGCCCAGCTGTCGCAGTCTAAGGCTCTCCAAAGCAGCAGGCCAGAGAATCAGGCTCCTGTGCAATTATCAGGGAGTCTCTGACTCACCGAGTCAAAGCGGCAACGTGGACATCAAATCCCTAAGGAGAGAGGTGTTGTGGGCCTTGTTACACAGAACGCAATTCTGTTCAACTTAAAACTTAAGATACCATCTTCATAAACCTAACGCTGTAAAGCTTCACCTTTCCAGGCAGCAAGGAACGTATCACGACCCTACGGAAGTTCATAGGCAGATGTCGCCACCGCAGCAATGTCAAGCGGACAAGCGGTCTTTTCACCCCGCGCGATGCCCTCCCAGCGGCACCTTCTAGTGAAAAGCGCTGCTTCTCAAACTGTACTTGGACAGCAAAGTTTTCAGCTTTTGCCAAGTCACACCAACAGAACACGGGAGGCATTTTGTTGTGCAGATGGCATTCATGCTTTACTCGGGAAGTAGCTGGAGCGTGACCTGCAGACCCTGACGTGACGTTAGGGTCCTTCAACGCCATCCAGCAGCGGAGCACATCAACACTAGGGAAACCTTACAATACTAAGTTTGATTGCTGTCACCGTGCTACAGAAGTAACGCATAAAGAGCCAGCCAGCAACCTGTGGCACAGGGTGTCTATCTAGAACTTCTTTACCTTGAGGGTGCCCGAGCCCTGGCCCAGGCTGCCCAGGGGGGCTGTGGAGTCTCCTTCTCTGGAGATCTTCAACCCCCGCCTGGCCGCTGTCCTGTGCCCCCTGCTCTGGGTGAGCCTGCTTGAACAGGGGGGTGGCACTGGGGGAGCTCCGGAGGGCCCTGCCAGCCCCTGCCAGGCTGGGATTCTGTGTAACACAGGCTACTGCACGGAGGAAGATGCGCAGGCAGGGAAGAGCCCCGGAATGTGGCATTTCAAGCCATACTGTAAACATACAGTGCTGCTGGTGAACGGTGTTTGCATCCAGGTTCAACGTACGGTAGAGGAATCAATCAGCTGGAAACTGTTTAACGGAAGATGACAACACCTAGGACCTTAAAGGACATAATATGTAAGATGTAAATTAAATGCGCAGAGATGAAACCGTGCAGCTCAGATCCAGACCAGAAGGCTGCTGGACTCCGCTGTGCTGTTGGATAGCGGGTGCACGGCCTTACGGCTGCCATCCAACATGCTGCACCACGGACCATGTTCTCCCGAGTTTCAGCAGTTAGGAGTGGGAGCAGGGTGGCAAAGCAGGAGTGCGAGCCTGGGACGATCAGCCAACTGCAGCTGCAGGAGTCCCTGAAAATTAATAATAATGCTTTTCCTCTTGCTAAAACTGACAAGAGCCCGATACCTCCCTGAGGCGCCCAGCATCCCAAAGAAACAAAATCGCAGACTGGTTTGAGTTGGAAGGGACCTTTAGAGATCATCTGGTCCAACACAGAGTGCTCTGAGACAGCAAACCATTCACATCCGTTCTAGCTACCAGCTGACTAACAGTATTTTCTCCCTGATGTGATGGAAAGCTAAAGCAGTCCATGAAGTATAACTTCTATTTCCAATCCGTACCAAAAATCAAGATTGCAATTTCATTTTTCTGGAGATTGAAGTTCCTGACTATATTGCCAAAACTGCTGAGAAGTGGCTTCTCTAAGCACTCAATCCCAAATTTCAGTATTGCTTCTACTTTCTGTTCTTCTGAGAAGCCCCTAAGCCATCAGGTTTTTAAATGCTTGGGGACAATACTTATAGCAAGACTATTTGGAAAAAAGCCTTGCGGAGCACCTCCAGTGCCACCTGCTATCTTCACTTCTTTCATTTGTTTTGACTGCGTGGAATCTTTAACAGGTAGAATCAACCTGACAGGATGGGGTTAAAATACATCCCGTCCAGATCTGCCTGTTTATGTACGGTTAGCTTTTGGAAGCCTGGATATTTGGAAGTTTTCTGGATGGAAGCCATCCACGCAGGAGAAACGCTACTCAGTTAAAATGCCATTTTGACATCAGAATTAAAAATAATTGCGTTTATCTTGGTAATGGTATTACGCCGCACTACTGCAATGTCCATCCTGCGCTGGTGAGCCCCTGCCTGGCCCCAGTATCTTGACAGGTCTCACCAGTGCTGAGCAGAGGGGAGCAACCCTGCCCTCACCCCATCGTGGCCAGGGATGTGGCTGGACCTTTTCTGCAAAGCTGCTTTCCCTTCCAGTGAATCCTCCATCATCATTATCCTCCGTCAGTCCATCTCCTGACGGCATTTGCCTCCCATCTCCGTTCGTGGTGTTACTACGTGATGTCTAAGCAGTTGAATTGCTCACTGTCCTGTCAAAAAATGAAGGCTTCCTTTCACGGGTGAATGCCTGTACAAGTCTGTAAGGACCCATTTTTTTCCTCCTCTGTAACGGCGCGTGTACTGCGCGATGCACCGCCGGGCTGAGCGGAGGACTCGAACGTGACCATCACCTACCGCGAGTCTCTGCAAAGCACATCTACCTGCTCAGCTCTGGTGCGGTCGATGTTCCCATCACGGAAGGCTTAGGCAGCACAGTCTGCCAAACTTAGAAATCCTGGTGTGGGCTCCAATGACTCGAGCACAGTTTTCTGTATGGCACACTGCTCTCCTGCTTTACTGAGAGGGAGCTGAAGTCCTGCCCATCTGCCCACCAAAGGGGGGGCTGATGCAGCCTCACCCAGACTGGGCTATGTAGGGAGAAGAACTTGTCCTACCTGTAAAGCAAACTAGCGTCCCAATGAGATGGTTTATAAGACTGCCTATTAAAGGGGAAGGGAAAGGAGGAGGCGCGCCATATCATCTCCAAAAATCACATACACCCTTGAACACGGTGAGGAATTAAACAAATGACTGTCCCAAACGATCACTCTGAAATTCTGAGCACTGGGAAGGATTACAAATCTCCTCTGTCAAAGCTCTACAGCAAAACCAGCTGGAGTAAACAGTTGTGGCTATATGGAAAAATGAGTTGGAAATCCTTTACTGCCAGTGGCCGAGGCAGGCTTGCTCTGCCCTGCGAGCCACAAACAGGCTGAAGCACCCAAAGCACCCGACGTGCAGGCTCTAGCGCTAAGACAAGCAGTTCTCAGAAGAGTGGATCCGCTCTCATAACAAACGACAAAACGAATTCTATTTCTTTAAGACACAAACAAACAAATCCCTCTTGTTCCCAATCTTTTAAAGAAAAAAAAGTGGTGGATTCTCACGTTCAGTACTTCCTGCCGTAGAGTCGCGGGCTCCACGCAGCTGATCAGACGAAGCAGGAGGTCCATCATTGCTGATGTATCTATATGCTTTAGCACCAGGCTAATAAATTTGTCTTTTTTCCTTAAAAATGCAATCACCTAAAAAGAAAAGCGGCATCATCAGTTGCTAGCACAGCATAGAGAGATGGCACACAGAGCTTCCAACGCTTCACCTGCTGGTCCCAACCAACCCATCTTGATGCAGAACAGCTACTTGGGTTGAGAAATTCTCCAGAGAATGAGAGAACATTCCCATCTCAAGGCAATACTAAATCAAATCATTTTACCCATCTTTTCTTCCCCCTATGTCACAAAGAAGCCCAAGCCCACAGAAATAAGAGGGTCAAGCAGCTGGTGAGGCTGGAGAATTTCTCATTCCACGAAGGCTCCCGACAGCCTTCATTTAAAACAATCAGCTGTGAATTGGAACACGTGTACTCCTAAACCACCGTTCAGCTCACGTTTCCAGCACCCTTTGTACAGGCAGGAGCCTGAGGCTTTGTTTATGTAACGAGACGATTCTGGGCAACGATCAAAGGATGCACCAATTTGCCTTTGTACGAAAAATAAAGCGTTAGCTGTGGCACAGGAAAATCCCAGCTACTGCAGATCTGAAACCAAAACTACGCAAAGGTGTCTGAACGAGCCAGCAACTCCCCCAGCTGAGGAGTCCAGGGAACTTTTCAAAGCCTGCACCTCAATTCCTACTTTCAAGAGCGTGACGAGCTATTTTTCAACTCTAAGAATACAACGGAACCATGAGGGTAGCAATGACACTGCCATACAACACAGACAACACTGGCGAATTAATTTGTGCTTACGTATCAGGACAAATCTAATCACTACCTGTTCCGTCTTTCTTGCAATGAGATTCCCAATAGTCTTACTGAAGAAACTGGCAAGCAAAGGGTTCAGCGGAGGCTCGTGATCCAAGAAGTCATAGAGGATATTCAGCAGAGTCTCATCCCCTCCTAACTTGTCGTTGATCTGCGGCACATCCGAGGTCAGCAGTTCACAGGCTGTGTTTGGATATCTGCAAGGACAGAACCAGAGCAACTAAAGGCCAAATGAAAACTCTCAAGCAAATCTTCACTGATTAAAGTTATAAAGTAAAGGGCGGGAGGATCGCCCATCCTGGAGACAGGGGAAAAAACCCACCCACCCAACCCCAAACCCACCACCCCCCAGCCACAAGGGCCACCCACATTACGGGCGCGTTTTAAGGAAGCACTGTTGCCTGCAGCACACCATGCGGGGTTTTCAACCACCGAATCACGCATCTCAGCTGCCTCCAAACTGCCGTTAGCTCTGATGTTTCAAAGCGATGCTTCATCGGTTGCAATACACTTAAAATCTCTTAAAATCCCTCAATATGAATCCATTTGCACAACTAAAACTAACCCCCAAATTGAAGGGTGACTTGAGGAACGCATGCGTTACCAGGTTTCTGTAACATTTCTGTAAATTAATCTTTCCACTACCGAATGAATTCAAGATGAACTTTTTTCTTTAAATCAAGAGGACGAGAATTTAGAGACAGAACATTTGCTCTAATGCAACACTCCCAGCAAATGAGCATAGGCTACGTACAAGCAAACGCTCTGTAGCCAACCTTCTGAGTCCCAGTTTTTCAGTGATGTCTACAACCGTCTGTAAGATCAACTTGTTTTCCAGAAAATACGACTGGGCCTGGTGTAGCTCATGTGCTCGCTTAAATCAGAATACGAAATTACATTTGACAGCTGATGTAACCCTTTCTTTTCCTGACCTTGTTTCTTGCTCTTCCAGGGGGTGCTTTCAGAAATAGGTCATATTTATGGTTGGAAAAGGCAGTAAGGTGTTTATAATTAATATTATGTCTATAATTAGTCAAAGGCTCAAATACCCAAGTGCGTACATACGAAACAATGATCTCAGGTCAACACAAAAGAACGCTTTTTGGGGAGTGGTAGCTTTGCTGAGAGACTAAGTCCCCGCAGGCTGAGATTCGACGCGAGAAGCCGGCTGCACCGTGCGGCTCCGTGGGGGTCTTCTGCCAACAGCCCACTGCCGCGGCCCCTCCGCTTCTCCTGCCGTGAAGGAATTCAGCAGGGGACGGGAGGCTGCCTTGCAGGCACCCCACAACACCGACATCCAGTGAGCTGTCTTTTGCTTTTTTAAAACCTCATTTCAGCCTTTCATGGTCAGATTAGCATCTGCATTTCATATTCCAGCTACTGCCTACCTGTAAAAAGGGCCTCAGAGAACTCCTTCAAAAAAAGATCCATTGGCCATCACACAGAGGTGACTGTAGTCCCAAAGAGCCGTTCGTCAGTGCTGTGAAATTCAACCAAGCACTGAACTTCAACGTTCTTTTCACACTTTCAATGGTACAGATGATCCCAGAGTCAAAAGGCAGCTGGACTTTATTTTTAACCCGTGGTTTACTCTTACCCCACTCATTGTTTAGCGACTCCGGCAGGGCGTGCTCGGGTGGCTCGGCAGTTCTAGGCTCAAAGCAGGAACTCTGCGCACCAAACCGCCTGCTGAGGGCCAGTTCTTACCCACGCTTCCTCAAGTAGTTTTGATTTGTTATCAAGTGAAACAGATTAAAAATAAAACCAGTCCTTTACAGCCCGAGCACTTTCTCTCTGTAAGCGGAGCTGGTCGTCTTTTCTTATCTTTGAGCAACAAGAAAATCGACCATATATTTGAATAATGGCCAACTAATGCAACCCTGGGCTGCATCAAGAGAAGCGTGGCCAGCGTCGAGGGAGGGGATTGTGCCCCTCTGCTCTGCTCTGGGGAGACCTCCCCTGGAGCCCTGCGTCCAGCTCGGGAGCCCTCAGCACCAGGAGGACATGGACCTGTTGGAGCGGGGCCAG